ATGAGGCATTGTATGGAAGAAAATGTAGAACACTACTTAATTGGTACGAATTAAAGGATTGGGAAGTTCTTGGTCCTGATTTGATTAAAGAAGTAGAAGAAAAGGTCCAGGTGATCCAACATAACCTTAAAGTGGCATCAGACAAACAAAAGTCCTATACGGATTTAAAAAGAAAAGAGATTGAGTATCAAATAGGAGATAAAGTGTTTTTGAAAGTCTCTTATTGGAAAAAAATGTTTCATTTTGGTTGAAAGGAAAATCTCAGTCCTAGATTCATTAGCCCGTATGAGATTATAAAGAGAGTGGGACGAGTAGCATATCAGTTAGCATTGCCACCAGAAATGGAGAAGATCCACAATGTTTTTCATGTTTCGATGCTCAGAAGATATCGATCAGATCCTTCTCACATCATAACAACGAAGATTGTTCGACTTTATGGAGTTTTGAGTTCAATAGTATCTGACAGAGATCCAAGGTTTACGTCAATAGTTTGGAAGTCTTTACATGAAGCCTTAGGTTCTTGATTGAACTTTATAGACAGATGGTCAATTTGAACGGACTATCTAGGTTTTGGAAGATATGTTAAGGGCGTGCGTGATTGATTTCAATGGATCTTAGGAGAAGTATATGCTGCTCGCAGAGTTTGCGTACAATAACAGTTATCAATCCAGCTTTAAAAAAGTACCGTATGAGGCATTGTATGGAAGAAAATGTAGAACACTGCTTAATTGGTACGAATTAAAGGATTGGGACGTTCTTGGTCCTGATTTGATTAAAGAAGTAGAAGAAAAGGTCCAGGTGATCCAACATAACCTTAAAGTGGCATCAGACAAATAAAAGTCCTACACGAATTTAAAAAGAAAAGAGATTGAGTATTAAGTAGGGGATAAAGTGTTTTTGAAAGTCTCTAATTGGAATAAAGTGTTTCATTTTGGTTGAAAGGAAAAGCTCAGTCCTAGATTCATTAGCCCGTATGAGATTATAAAGAGAGTGGGACGAGTAGCATATCAGTTAGCATTGCCACTAGAAATGGAGAAGATCCATAATTTTTTTCATGTTTCCATGTTCAGAAGATATCGATCAGATCCTTCTCACATTATAACAACGGAGATTGTTCGACTTCATAGAGTTTTGAGTTCAATAGTATCTGACAGAGATCCAAGGTTTACGTCAATGTTTTGGAAGTCTTTACATAAAGCCTTAGGTTCTCGATTGAACTTTAGCACCCCACAGACAGATGGTCAATTTGAGCGGACTATCTAGGTTTTGGAAGATATATTAAGGGCGTGTGTGATTGAATTCAATGGATCTTGGGAGAAGTATATGCTGCTCGCAGAGTTTGCGTACAATAACAGTTATCAATCGAGCTTTAACATGGTACCGTATGAGGCGTTGTATGGAAGAAAATATAGAACACTACTTAATTGGTACGAATTAAAAGATTGGGACGTTCTTGGTCCTGATTTGATTAAAGAAGTAGAATAAAAGGTCCAGGTGATCCAACATAACCTTAAAGTGGCATCAGATAAACAAAAGTTCTACGCGGATTTAAAAAGAAAAGAGATTGAGTATCAAGTAGGAGATAAAGTGTTTTTGAAAGTCTCTCATTAGAATAAAGTGTTTCATTTTAGTTGAAAGGAAAAGCTCAGTTCTAGATTCATTAGCCCGTATGAGATTATAAAGAGAGTGGGACGAGTAACATATCAGTTAGCATTGCCACCAGAAATGGAGAAGATCCACAATGTTTTTCATGTTTCGATGCTCAGAAGATATCGATCAGATCCTTCTCACATCATAACAACGGAAGAGATAGAAGTCCAATATGATCTGACCTATGAGGAAGAACCAGTGCAGAGTTTAGCACATGAAGTCAAACAACTAAGGAACAAGATGATTCCGTTAGTTAAAGTTCTTTGGAGAAATCACAAATTGGAAGAGGTGACATGAGAGCGTGAAGAGGATATAAGAAGACAATTTCCTCATCTCTTTGTGCAGTGAAAATTCTAGGACGAATTTTCTTAAGGGGGAGAATTATAATACCCAAAACATCCAGTCAGTGACTAAAGTGTAAGAATTCAAAATTTAGCGGTTTGATTTTTATAAATTGAAATATTCAAGGATTGATTTAGAATTTTTTTAGGATATATTTTCAAAGATTGAAGGATGGAAGAGAAAAATGGTCTTTTGGCATGAAATAAATATAAAATACATTTTTAAAGTATATAACATGTGAGGAAAAAGGAGAAAAGGAAAAAGAAAAGCCTATAACACTCTCTCTTCATCTTCTCTTCTTTATTTCTACTGTGAACTCCATTGCTAAGGTAAGTAATCTTGAAGTTGGTTGTTTCTTGCATTTTTGAATTGGTTTTGAGTTTTTGGGTGGTATAGAAGCTTAAGAAAGATTAAAGATGATTAGAAACTATGGAATTGATGAGTTAATGGTGATTTGGTAAAAAAGGTTTTTAAGGGAGTTGATGAAAATTAATTAGTATTTGGATTTTAAAGATATATTTGACTTGTCAAAGGTCTGAATAAGATGTTTGAACTATTAGAAAGGATTGGGAACATGTTTGAAGAATGGGTGTAATTTTTAGTTTAAGTTGTATAATGAAAATTTTGGATGTTAAAGGGAACTTAATTGATGTAAGTTGGTTGTGATAAGTGTTATTGAGTTTAAGGACATGAATGGAGTTAGAGGTACGAGATTTAGGTGAGCTTTGGGTTAAATTTGAAATGAAATAAGTGAATTATGGGCAAAAGTATCGGTACTGGAATAACAATATCGATACTATACAAATCGGATGAACAAAATCGATACTGAAGGGGTAGTAACGATACTGGGGGTATCGATACAAATAATAAGCACTGATATGATAATTGAAGAGGAAATTCAAGAAAGCAATTTGGGTATCGATAATGAGGTAGGTATCAATATCATAGAATGAAAGTATCAGTACCGGGTGTAGAATATCGATACTGTTCAGCTTGAAATTGTGAATTAGGTGTTTTATTTAGTTTATGTAAATGCTGATTGGTTAAAATTAATTGAGCTTCGGTATTCATCTTGGTCATGTTAATGTGTAGGTTTCGATCGAAAGCAAATACTGAACGAATCAACGTAATAAATAGATTGAGCGAAAGTGAAAAGGAATTTTGCTTAGGGCTTAAGTGAGAAAAAGGTGAGTGCATACTACTTTAATGTATTAATACATGGGAAGAAGACTTGTGATGAGTCGACTTCCAATGATTTTTAACTAAAATAGAATTTTGAATAGTTATATATGTTAATTTTTATGGTTTTACCTAAATTGTATTTCAAAAGCACTATTTTGATTTTATTATTATGAGTATTTGTTCTATGTGAATATGTTCTATGTGAATAAATGATAATTTGAATAATGCTATGTGAAATATTTATATGGTTAAAGCCCAAAGTATGTGCTATGAGAATTAGAGGTATAATTGGCATGCCAAGAGTCGAGGGATTCTACGCGGTCTTTCGGGACAATTTTATGTGGTCCTTCGTGACAATTCTAAGCGGTCATCTTGAACAAATTTATGTGGTCCTTCGAGACAAATCTATGTGGCATTTCAGTGCATATTCTATGTGGCACTTCGGTACAAAATTCTACGTTGCAATTTCGACTGCAATTACAGTGCACAACCTCAAAGTACTCACATACCTTGAGTTCTCAGTGATATACGTTGGACTATTTAAACAAATTGTTATGAATTGAACAGTGCATAACAATTTATGTTATTCTTATGAAATGTATCTTGTTTTCAGTATTCAATGTTTCTCCTGAAATATTTAAGAAATTGTTTTAATGTTTTATTATGCTCATTTATGCCTCACTAAGTCAAAGACTTAGCGTGTGAGTGTTTTCACACGTAGGGTCAAAGAATTCTGCAGAGTAAAGCTAGGTTAGGGTAGCATACCTGTGAAGAAGATTAGATTAGATCGATTTGAACAGTATGTGATTTTCTTATTTTGAAATTTTGTTGGCATGTACTACAAATGTTTAAATCACAAATGCTCTGATCTGTTTTGTAACTATATTAATTAGAGTTACGTAAGTATATTAAATATTTGTTTTCATTGTCTAATATTAATTTCAATGTTAACTCATGTTAATGAGGCCTTCACCATTAAAATAATGGTAAAAAGTTAAATTTTAGTCGAATTTTCAAAGAGTCAAAGAGTTGAAAAGTCAATGTTACACCTCATATTCATATCCAGGTTGAATACGGGCCGGGGTGTGACAAATTCTTCATCCGCATTTTAAAAAATAGATACCAAATATGTTAACTATTTGTATTCTTGAAATCAAGTTTTCATTTACATTAATCAAAATGTTTTCTAATTTTCAAAAATCTATAAGTGAAAATTATTTTCTGGAAAAAAATCAAAAAAAAATTGTTTAAAAAACAAAAACTATTGTTTAAAACCAAACGAACTCTTACAATTTGTGATTTAATTTTGTTAGTTCGGAATTAAAAAAATGTTATACGGATTGTTTGATAAAAAATATAACTTTTTTAAAAATAAGAGATATGTACCGTTTTATTATAGATAAAAGATTCTAAAATTTGATGTACTTGATATTATCAAAATGATAGAAAATTTTATTGCCTTCCATTGAAGCAAAATGGAGTGCAAAAGATGCCTTAATTTGTTATCATATCAGTATTATAATTTGTGGCGGATCCATTCATGACTCATGGTGCGCAGATCCTAAAATCTGAAATTTTTTCGATTAATTATTTATTTTATTAATAATATCTAATTGAAATTTTATTGTGCTCATCTTAAAATTTAAATTTTCTTTGATTAATTACATATTTTATTAATGATGTCCACTCTTAAATTTTATTTATGTTTAACCATTCAAAAAATTTATATTGTTAACACATACTTGTCCACTTCAAAATTATTTCTAGATCACCACTTAATACAATCACCATGTATATATGTAAAACTCAGCACTTGCTGCTATATCTGACTTTAAGCCATTCAGATATTGTAATTATACTGAGTTCATGGACAGTGAATGAAAGCAAGATCCTACTAATTATGATTGATTGATTAATTAATTACTGCTAATTACTATAGTATTGTCTTCCTTTCATCTTTATCAAGTAACACTGATAGGTCTGACAAGGAGGGTTGTTGGGGATGACTTGTTTACTTCTAAACCCGGCCTTGGGGCGGCGAGCGTGAGCTCGAGATCGGGGGCTGTTTTCGGAGATTCGGATTGTCCCGCATTCGATGTTCTCGTCTGTGAATCATCGTCCGACATATGTGAATCGAATCGAGGAATCGTGAGACTAGGAGGAGATCCGGCCATGCCACTGCTTCTAAACTGTCATGGGATCAGAACAAGAATTTTTTTTTTTTTTAAAAAGGAAAATCTCGACGGAAAACCGATAACGTACCATGTCTAACAGGCTAGAACGTCGGTTCTTCTTGTTGAGACTCGCCTGTCGGAGAAAATACTTTTGAGCATGACTTGCAACTTGTGTCGGAGTTCTTGTAGTAACAAACTTTCTAGAGATGCCTCTCCAGTCTCCTTTCCCTAGCTTCTCCAGCCCTACTAGAAATATCCTGTGCTCCTCCTCCGTCCATGGAACTCCTGATTTTACACATCCAAATGATACATGAATAAAAAAAAGTTCATACGCACATGTTTAAATAGCTGCCTTTATATAGCGGTAACGATATATTATCTACTGATGGCAAATTGAAGAGCTTCTATACGTACCCTTTTTCCTCTCGGGAGATCGGACCATGAGACCATCGGAAAGATAACCAACGGAGATTTTATCAGAATTTTCGTCGACAGAAACTCGAGAGGAAGACAAAGAAGAAAGCGAGGCCAAGGAAGAAGACAAGCAATCCATGCTGAAACTCTTCTTCATATAATTCTCAGCAACAGCAACAGCAACAGACGATAACGAAGAAGAGGGTATGTCGAGTTGCAGCTGAACACCAAAGAGCCTAAGTCCGCCGCCGCCAGTTGTGCCTCTGAAAGTGGTGCAGGTCCTGGAATTGTGGCCTATGTTCCCACAATGTGAGCACTTCCTGCCCATTTCCTTCCCGACAAAGCTTTACAATAAATTCTCCGACCAACAAATAACAAACTTACAGAGATAGAGAAGGAAGCAAAAGAAGTGAGATGTTTGGTGAAATGTAATCTGATGGATATAAAAGGTGGGGTTCGGAGGCATACCTAGAGGAGGTGATTGGATGGACTTGTTTGGATATTTTTTCCCAACTTGGGATTAAAAACGAAACTAAATTAGTATTTATCTTTTATAATTATATTATACCATTTCATGTTCCTTAGAAGAAATTTATCGTTGGTTCAACATTGTTATCGACAACAAATATTATAATAATTTGCTTGTTGCACTTTTTAGGCTATCTCCAGTCCTCATCTCTACTCTACAACATCTCTATTTCTACTCTAAAGATGAAATAATAATTCATCTTCATCACTATCTCTACATTACCATCAACTCTACTTTATTCATAATATTTAACTATTAAATATAAAGATAAAAAGCATAAATAAAACATTCATAAATAATATTACGAAAATACAAATAAATAAGAAAATTACAATTCATAATAATAATGAAAAAAATATAAGTTACATAATTATATATTTTTATCTTGCAATTTAATCTACTTGAATTTAAAAAAAAATCAGAAAAATTACAAAATAAAATTAGTATGCTTATTTATCTAATTTCAATGTATTTTTATCAATCTTGCAAATTAGTATACTTGAATTTAAAAAAAATCAGAAAAAATACAAAAAATTACAAAAATTACAAAAACAATTAGTATGTTTATTTATCTAATTTCAATGTATTTTTATATATTTTTTAATTTAATTTACTTTAATTAAAAAAATGTATCATGAGCTACAGTGTCACGTCAGATGTGACGCGGACTGTAACAATTCTATAAAGGGGAGATGATGTTTGGCGCATGACTGGAGAGAAAACTCTCTCCAAAGTGGAGAAAATCTCCAAAGTAGAGCAGCATTAGAGATGCCCTTAATATACTATATGATGTTTGTGCAGTGTGACAAGTTCTTTCTCTCTCTATATATACTATCTTTGTCCCATTAAAACTATATTTTATTATCTATTTTTTGTCAATTTTTTTAACTTTGACTCTTTATTATTTAAAATTTATTATTTGTAAAAATATAAAAAATTATATTTTAAAAACATTCAATCAAATAGTTTTCAAATATATATTTTATAAAATTTAACTTTTTAAATATTTAAAATAATTGTGGTCAAAATTAAAAAAATTTGATTTTTGAAAAGTCAAAAAGAGACAGTTTAATAGGACGGAGAGAATATAATAAAGGTAAATTACCCAAGATATGACACAACTTTTATTGAATTATAAATTGATATAATTATAGTATTAAATTATTTTATATAAATTATATATTGAATTGTTAGATAATTAATAATCAATCAATATGGTATGCTATTAATGCCGGCTAACATGAAAATAATAAATTTATTTATTTTTTATCAAAATTAGAGCTTTTCTCTTTTTATCAATTATTGTAAATAGTCACTCTATGGTATCTTTGTTATAGTTCTTTTAACACTTTGTTAATTCAGAAAAATTGATATACAAATTAAAGAGTTCACATAGTCTATATCATTTTGATTATCAATATATTCGCATTAGAACGATGTCATTTAGTCATATCACCACATTGATAAATATTATCGTTCATGTAAACGTGTCACTTATCACTTCAAAGTCTAAAAATATAATCAAAATTAAAATTTAGTGCTACAATTATATCAATTTATAATTATGTGAATGTTTTGAAACTATAAAATGCCATAAATGATTAACGGGAATGTTATTATTCCTAAAGATTATATGTACAAGCAGCTACATATATAGGTGTGTATTATAAATCGATTAAAAAATTAAGAATAAATACTACCTTACAATAACATCAAACTACTTTAAAAGATATGGAACAATTTTATATAAAAAAAATTAATAATATATAATGTAGTTTTTAATCTCCTTTTGTTGTTAAACAAAAAATAGTATCTACACAAATCGATACTGTTTATTTCTAAAACTAACAAAAAGAAAAGAACAGTATAAAATTAAACATGATGTTTGAGAGTTTGAGGATGACCGATAACCTATTATCAATAATTATTGATACGTGGATATATATATTCATTAATATTACTTTTATTAAATATTGAAAAATTAGTTTAAATTATGATTAATATGATACAATGTTTAAATTTTTTTGATATACAAAATATTATTGTATTATATTACATCACTATATTTATTAAATTAATGGTCAAATATAATGACAAAATATTAAAATAGAAATAAATATAAGTTAGATATGGTTAAAAAATAATTAAATGACTAAAATATAAAACATTAATAATTAGAGTATAAATAGTAGTTTACCCTTGTTTTTTATAAAAAAAAAAACTATGGTTCAAAAACACTGGCAGCAGACAGAAATACGGAAAACAGGACAATCTCATCCCTCGCATTAATCTTTTCTTCTTCTTTTTTAATAAATATTTTATTTACGATTGCTGCCCATATTAATCGCCAAAGATAACATTTGGCACTAATTGAATTGGAAAAAGGAAAGAATAGTATATTCCCTTTCCCGTGTAAGTAAACTTTGATTAATTAATTGATTATTTATATATGTTATTTAGATTTGAATACAAACATTAAATTCATGTATTTATTAATGTTTGTTAGGTAAGTTACGTAGTAGGGAGTTTGATATCGTTTAAATAATATTTGAGAGTCGATTATTGTGGATGGAATTCGAGACAAATTTACATTTATATAAAATTTAATTCAATTCAACTTCAAATATAGTCGGAACTCATGTAACTATTAATGGTGAGCATGGAATTTGAATTAGACGAGTTATGATCCGACCCTGTAAAATCATAATTTTTTTTAAGAATTCGAGTTGGGTCGATCGAGTCAAGGTTTTTTAAGGGAAAGATCGGGTCAAATTTGAGTTTATGATAAAAAAAATCTCCGACTTGATCCAACTTGAGATAATAATACAATTGTTCTTTATATTTACTCATATTTTTATATATTTTAATTAAATCCCCATTTTACTACAAATGATATATTTATTTCATGTTGGGTACATATTTTTACCTAAAAACATATTAAATACAATTTTTATGTACCCAAATCGAATAAAATGATAGGTGAAAAGATAAAAAAAAAAGAAATTCAAATCCACCAAAATTTAATTTACTCAACTTATGTTGATCCCTAATAGTTATCAAACATTGAAGAGTCCTAAAACAAAAATATATTATATATGTGAGGAATTGTATTTAAAATTTATATATATTGAATAAAAAATATAACTAATCATATCCCTAAATTAAAGATAAATTCAATTGAACAAATTTGAAAATAATAACTTATCTAATACGATAACATAAACCAAATATATAATAGTGGATAGATGCGTTGCCCAACTACCACTTGACAATTATATGATAATGGACCGACTTGTTTTTTTTTTTTTAATGACATTAGGTTAATGATGGGTAACATCCATAGGCCGAGTTGAGGAATTTATTAGTCCCATAGTAAACAAAACCATTTACATGGTTCCAATTACACTTATTTGGCATGTATCACATAAGTGGAATCTCTCTCCTTGAATAAGATATGATAATATATATATATATATATATTTCTAATCTTGTATACGACAAGTCCATGATGTTATTATAGAGATAACAATTATTAATTTCATTTTATTGTATTATATTCGATTCGGCCTAAAAAATTATGATGTGATTTACATGTTTGTACACGTATATCTAGGATTTTCTCTAGTAATGATGCTTAATTTTTTATCCAGTGGAAAGTGCTCTCTTGTTGCTCCCAAAATTTTCATTTAATAACATTTTAGATCCCTATCAATTTAAACTTAAGTAAAACTAATTTTATCTCCTTCAATTTTTTAGATTAAATACTAGATAAGTCCCTATTGTTTAAAACTTATGTAAATTATCCCTCTGAATATTTGATCATAGCGAAAAACCAAGTCAATTGACCCTATTTCACCAGGAATCTTCATTTTGGTTGTTGTACTAATGTCAAACACATATCAAGACATAGATAGGAGGATACAAGCCTCTGAATATATCAAATACTCGGAAAAAAAAATCGAGTATACTCGTGTTGGACACATCCGTGTCCAAAGATTTGTTTGACACTTACTGCCTGGTCTAGGTAACTGTCGACACACATTTTTGTATGACTTTACTATATAACATTTATACGTTAATTCATGTCATATAATTAATGTATAACCGTGTGTGTATTATATTATATAATATATGCATACTATGTTGTATATTATATAGTATAAATATATATATATATATATATATATATATATCAATATATTATTACATTGTTATATATTCATTCTAATTATTTTATTTTTCAGGTCCAACAAATACAACCCAAACAACTTAAAAGCCCAGACACACTAAACAAACAGCCCAGGACCTGCAACCTAGATCCACTGGAGCAACCCAAACCGGTCCAGACCCGAATCAGCTAGGGTTTGAAACCCTAGCTTAGCTTCGCACCCCCTCTCGAAGGTTCCTCGCGCCTCACCCACCAGTGGTCGTTCTCTTCGGTCAACCACCCGAGTTTCCCGACGACGTATCCTCGTGGGGAACCAACAAGAAACAAAAAATAAGCGTTTTAGCTCCAATAGGAAAAACTAAAAATAGGTTATTTTTTACTATATCCAATAGCTAAAAATAGGGATGTAAAGAAGAAAGAGGGATGGGAAGAAAACGAAGAGGATTCGAAAAGAAAAATAAAGAGATTCGAAGGAAAAAATACAAAACTAACAAAAGAGAAAAACATAAAGGTGAGAGAAGAAGCTTACCTTGGTCGGAGAAACTTCGGGAACACCAAAGGTCACCGGTTTCTCAATTTATTTTCGAAAGGTAATTCCTAGATCTACGAGTCTAGGGTGAAGTTTAGGTGAATCTAAGTTGGTTTTCGGGTTGAGGGAGGTGAGAGGAAGATTTTAGGGGTTTTGGTTTACTCCTGTCGTCGTGCACCGTCGCGATCGCTGCCGCGAACCGCCGTGGCTGACGCTGGCGGCGTCTATCTTTTATTCCCCAGCAAAGAGAAGTTGA